AAAAATTCATTCAAAAGTCATATCACTAAAATATTCATGTATTAATCCATACGAAAAACTGAGAAAATCGTCTAATTTCTATAAAATGATTCCTAAATGCCCAAAATATGTGCAAATATGGTGAGGCTTCATGTACTGCTCCCACAAGTCCTTACGGAGGGGTTTTTTCTAAGATTTTGCAAAAAAAATAGTCTGGAAGTCATTGTAGACATTGAAATTTTATGGGACTATACAAGATGTGTTCAATTCGAGTTAGGATTCTACAAAGGTGTGTTCAATTCCCATTAGGATTCTTGGAGGCTACTCAACCCTAAATTCTAGTGCATGCCTATATAAAGGGTACTATATTCCCTTAAAAGACATCTTAAATATTCCACAAATTCATAGAATATTCATAAGAAGATCAAATTCAAATCATCCTAATTCAAGAAATACGTCACTAACGACCCTCGAATCATGGATAAATCTTATGAAAGAGGAATCAAGGGATCAATAGATTTGTAGTCACAATTTTGATGAATAAAACTATGTTTCTTCATATTTAATTTGTGAGTGCAATTTATTTTCTGTTACTTTAAAATTTGTTGCAAACAAATAGGCATACCTAGTGGGACAAAATTTGCCCTTCATCTCTTCTCTCACAAATCAAATCTGCAAATCTAAAGTCACAAAATCACAAAGATAGAAAAATAAGTACTTCAAGTCTCATCTTTGAGTTCATCAAGTCTACACTCTGACAAGTCTTGAAGCAACGGGCATTTGTAGACATTGAAATTTTGTGGGACTCTACAAGATGTGTTCAATTCGAGTTGGGATTCTACAAAGGTGTGTTCAATTTTAATTAGGATTCTAGAAGGCTACTCGACCCTAAACCTTAGTTCATGCCCATACAAAAGGTACTATATTCCCTTAAAAGGCATCTCGAATATTCTGCAAATTCATAGAATCTTCATAAAGATCAAATTTCAATCATCCTAATTTGAGAAATACGCCACTAACGGCCCTCGAATCATGGATAAATCTTATGAGAGAGTAATCAAGGGATCAACAAATTTGTACTCACAATCTTGATGAATAAAATTATGTTTCTTCATATTTTCTTTGTGAATGCAGTTTATTTTCTATCATTTTAAAATTTGTTGCAAACAATAATATCACCAAAATATTAATGAACTAACGCACATGAAATTGAGAAAATCACCTAATTCCTGTAAGAAGGCTCTTAAATGTCCAAAATATGTGCAAAAAATGTTGAGGATTCACGTACTACTCCTCCAACTCCCTACAGAGGATTTTGTAAGAGTTTTGTAAAAAAATCACTCAGAAGCCATATCACCAAAATATTCCTGGGCATTAACATTCGAAAAAATGAGAAAATTGCCTAGTTTCTATAAAATGGATCCTAAATGCCCAAAATATGTGTAAAAATTAGTGATGATTCACGTACTACTCCCCCAACTCCCTTTGGAGGGTTCCGTAAAGATTTTGTGAAAAAATTATCTAGTAGTCATGTCACCAAAATATTCATAGGCTAACATACACGAAAAATTGAGAAAATTGCCTAATTCTTGTAAAAATGGATCCTAAATGCCCAAAATATGTGGAAAAAATGGTGAGGCTTCAACTCCTTGCCGAGGGCCTGTGCACCCCCGGGATTAGTCGGGGCTCAAAGAGACTCGGACACCCGGTGCAAATCAAAAAAAAAAAAAAATGGTGAGGCTTCACCAACTGTTTCCCTAACTCCCTACGGAGGGTTTCATAAAGGTTTTGTGAAAAATCATCATATCACCAAAATATTTATGGGCTAACACAAATGAAAAACTAAGGAAATCGTCTAATTCCTATAAAATGGCTCTCAAATGTCGAAAATATGTGCAAAAAATGGTGAGGCTTCCTGTACTGCTCCTCTAATTTCACTTTTCACTGATAAATTTTAACATTTTTTCAAGTAAAATGCTTGTTCAAACACAACTTCAAATCTCAAAAAATCATAAATTTTACAACCTAAAATTTCAAGTTTAATTCAACGTCAAAATCTATGATCAAACGAGAATAAAAACTTGTTGACACTAACTATTTTTGTAATTACATGAGGTTATAATGGGAAAGAGATAAGTATCATTCCATGACCCTCAATAGTCGGTCGAAAAGAGATGAAATCAAGCCATAGGGCCTATAGTGATTTGGGAGTCCCGTGTGGAAAGACCATCACTCAATGGAGCAAAGGTAGGCGCCTAGAATGCCATATTGATAACTCTTAATATCTCTTATGGTTGACATAGTTGTTAGACAATTTGATGTCGATTCATCACATCTTTTAGGGTTGAAGAAAGTCCAACGGGTTAGGGTTGAAGAAGGTCCAAATGTTCCGTTGTTCGCAGGTTCAAGTGATAATTATAGGTTCACACTTGCCAATGAACTCAAAATTTAGAGTTTATGGGTTCTAAACTTGCCATCAAATTTATAGTCATCATAGTTATGGGGTTCACAATTAAATATTTATACATATGTAATAAAGTTCCTTGTACAAATACGTGATCTAAACAAAAGTAACTAAATTCATCCCAATTATAAATATCTCAGCAATTATTGAAGTAGTTGCAACAACTTCAATTTTATATTCCAGCAATTTTTTAATGCAATGCATAACAAAATCCAGAATTTGATGAAATAACAATAAAGTTATGGGTGAATGTATCAAATTTGATCTGGATCAGCTAGGATACTTTTTTTTAGATTTCTATGATAGTGATATCTTATTATATAGTTCCAAATATTTAAGTATTTACTTAATAATTAACACGTTTTTCAAAGCAAACCATGAAAATTGACAGTTGATTGAGCACATAGATATCATATAATATATAGTACCAGATACAACCCTCCCTCCGCAACTCACGTTGATGCGCGATCCAAATTTAATTTTGTATATAATGAAGATAACAGACATCGAGTCAGAAATTAGAAAAATACAATCATGTAGTTATCCAACGAGCAATAACGCATAACTCATAAAACAAGCAACAAACTATGTATTTTATATTTTAAAATTTTAATACTTTTAATAAACTTATATGATTAATTTATATAGTTTCAAGAAATTCTTTAAAAAAAAATCAAAAAATGATTTCTTTAAAGGGAAAAGTAGAGCCTTGAGGAAAATTTGAGAAAAATAAAATAAATCTTCTTTAACTCGGAAAAATAAAATGGAACATTTTTTAAACTACCTAATTTTCTTTTAATAGACTTTCCCAAAATTATCTAAATGGTTTTTTGTCTTCTTAATTTTGAGAAAAAAGTTGGATAAAGGAAGTTTTCGATTTATTGAGTTTTATGGTATGCATTTGGTCAATTAACTTGTTTATCCATTAATTCGAAATATATACGTAATATAGTGGCAAAATCAAATTTTTTAATAACAAAATTCAATCGTTTGATCTAAAGTAAGTCAAGAGGATTCAAAGTATATATACAAATAAATAAAATAAAAAATTTAGTGCAATATGAATTTTCAACGCAAAGAATTCAATTAAACCCCTTTCATTAATTGTGGCTCCACTATTGTACGTAAGAATGCATGCAAGTCCATTCATTGAACATGTAGCCATGTGCAGTCATCGCTATTTACGTATTCGATAAAATTCAATAATCAAAACCCTTAAATTAATTTCATATTTATGTTTTAAAAAAAAAGAAATTTAATGTGTATAAATAATTTGTTGAAAAAAAAAAAAAGATTTAACATGTATAAATAATTTATTCAAAATTCAATAAGTTAAAAAATCAAAAGGAAAAATTGTGTGACGTATAATCTAACTCAACCCTATAATTATATTTAGATTTATGTGAATACACTTATTATCCGCACCAATAAAGATAGAATTAGATATTGCATATGCGTGGTTGATACTGTATATTATGCTACAAAGATATTACAAAATATTTAGCTAGTACTCACTCTGTCCAACAATACTTGTCAACTATTGACTTTACACGCTCCTGAAGAAACTACTATCTTCGTCCACTTTTAATTGTCACCGTTTTCATTTTTAGAGTCAAACTATAAAAACTTTGACTATCAACGATGTATTTTTTCATCATATTGATATGCAAAAAATTGCAATTTATAGCACTTTTCGTACAGTTTTTGAATATCTAATTTTTTTTGTTTTGAATATTGAATTAATATAATCTAATTTAACTTTAAAAATTAGTCAAATTGACTTTCGAAAAACGCAACATGACAAATAAAAGTGGACGGAGGGAGTATAATATAAGGGTAATTTTACTATATCACCCTTTATTATATAATAAATACGTACGATGTCTTGAAAGATGTAATAGGGAAATGATTATAATTAATGATAAGGGTAAATTAGGAACTAGTGAAATTATCCATTGATTTCATAAAGTTGACAAGTATTGTTGGACATTCCAAAATAGTATAGTAGACAACTATTGTTGGACGAAGGGAGTATGAGCGAATATAATGATATACTCGATCTGTTCTAGAGATATTGTATGTGTACGGATACATTATTATGTGCAAGGATACAATATATTTCACTTTTATTATACGAGCGAATACAATGTATTTCGCTACGTTTTAAAACCAAAATATATACTTCTATGTGTCGTTATTAAGCAAAATCTAAGTGGAAATAACACTATTCAGTAATTTTTTTCTTAAAATATTATAATTCATAAACTAAAATTTTTGACTCCGATCGAATAAATCCTATGTTTTGGCAAAATGAAAATTGTACACCACTAGCCGAAAATCACGACTGAAAAATAAATTAATATGTGGCCTACTTCTTAATTATTTTATTAATTTATTGCCTATATATATCTGCCTATTTGCAATATCTTTATTACTCATATAACCACATTCTCGATCAATTCTTACAAAAATAGCCACTATGACAAAACTAGCCTCAATTCTTTCTCTTTGCATCATTTTCACAACTTTCATCTCTTGGGCAATTAATATGCATTAGAGGAAAATGCAACGATGACCCTGACGTTGGAACCAGTATTTGCGGAGGAGGAGGAGGAAGTTCTCCTTCTCCTCCGTCTACTGGTTCAACGCCAGGTATGCTAACTCTTAACGACTTTAGTGAAGGTGGAGACGGGGGTGGTCCATCAGAATGTGACGAGAAATATCATGATAACAACGATAGAGTAGTCGCGTTGACTACTAGATGGTACGATAATGGTTCAAGATGTGGTAAAATGATACGTATTCGGGCCGATAAAAATGGGAAGAGTGTAACGGCTAAGGTTGTGGATGAATGTGACATAAAAGATGGTTGTAAAAATAATGTAGTGGATGGTTCAATTGCTGTGTGGAGAGCTTTGGGATTGAATACTGATGAGGGAAGAGTTCCTATTACTTGGTCCATGGCCTAGGAGATATATCACTACCAAAAAAATCCGATAAATTCTGTAGCTAATCAACAGAATTCATCGTTGATCCTATTTAGAGATCGATACTTAATAAAAAAAAATTGTGACTCATTGGTCCATATGGCCTAGGAGATACTATTATTATTACTCCTATATATGTGGCTTAAGTGTACTTTAATTTATTATGTGTGTTCTGTTGTAATAGAATAGAGTTTGAATAATTGTGTCATCTTAATAAATAAAATATGTGATAAGATGGACATGACTAGTGTACCTCAAGAATTTGTTATGAAATATTTCTAGTTAATTTGTATGGCTTGATTCAGAGTATGAGGTTAACTAATGTGTGGTGTAAATTTAGACATAGAATCGTCAATATAAATCACAATAGTTAACCATTCAAAGTATTTATACAGTATTTGAAAAAATTATAGTCAAACAAATATTATTTGTCCACACAATAACTAAGACAAATAAATTGAAACGAATTGAATATCATGTGTAATTTCTAATAAGCAAAGCAATTTGTATATCCATCCCAATTTCTAAATATAGTTGAATTGTGCGTAACTATCTCATCTAAATTATTGAAGACCACATTTTTTACTTTAATCTCATATTGTATATTGATATATTCCTATCTAGATTTATATTTTTACTAACAGGTACATTTACAAATTAACCAATATTGTCACAAACATATTCTCAACATGATAAGGTTGGCAGCAATTCAGATATGATTTAACACAAGCTAGCCAAATTTTTAAGATATATACTAGTTTTAGTGTTAAAAATTTATATGTATCGAATGTTTATATATATAAATAAATTAGATCAAATTCCTAACAATATGTGCCTTCATAACAAATCAGATAAAAATGTGTGAAATCAAACTATGAAAATTGACAATTGAATTAACACAAGACTATTCTAGAATGTGGACTATTATTTTTTAATTAGAAGAATTAATTAACATAAATAGTCTTCATCAAAATACTTTTTGAAAGATTTATAACTAAGTATAGGGTCATGGGTAAGTGGTGCTCATCGGTGATATTTGTAACTTAATAATCCATCATAAATATGAGTATGAAAAATATCTTGTGACAAATGAGTATTTTTATTTAATTAGTTATATAATAAAAATCATCGACAAATATGTGATAATTAGCCGTCATATTCCATCACAAATCACGCTATTATAATTTTGATAAGACCCCTAAAATGCTCGATACTTTAAGATGAGAAAATCGATCCTCCTTACTTGATCCCAGACTTGTCTTTTTCTCTTTTTGTTTTGTTTGGAGGAAAAAATCTAGAAATATATCTATCCATTAATTGAGTCAATAATGAATTAGAGTACTAATTAGCAGCCACTACCTAGGGTAAGAGTAATAGGGGGGAAAAACTAGTACTATTTTTTTAAAACTTTTTCAAGTGGAAGAAAAAATAGGAAGAAAAATATTCTTAAAGAATTAATTAATCGACTATAAAAAAAGTTATCCGTACTAATAACTTTGCTCTCTCTATATTTTGGGTGAATATTTGGTCAATGAACTTTTTTTTCATTACTCTTATTGAAACTCGATTAAATTTAAATTTATGCATTACATACTTCATTTCTAATAAATAACGCTTGCAACAAAAAAAAAGTTCATTTCCAAAAAAAATAAACGTATCCCCTCTAATTAAAGGAGAAGAAATTTTGAACCATTATAATTCAAGGTAAAAAAAGTTCGAACCATTCTACCACGACACTGTATTAATTATTCGATCAACTTGCTAGTCCATCAATTAATCGTAATGTCAGAAGCCGTGCATCCATGCAAGTCTATGGAGGGTATCCGAGTTAGCTTGCACACCTTATTTTATTTTAAGGGATATTTGTCATTTTCCACAAATCATATAACTTTTTTCATTGAAATTAGAACAGATGAAAAGAAATTATTTACTTTATGGTGATCAATTTATTTCATTGACAATTTTTTTACAAGAATTTTGAATTAAACTATTATTCATTGTTTAAACTTATCTCGAATTAGTTCATTTCAACTCAAATAATTAAATTTTATTTTAATAAATAACATATTCAAATTCAAATCAATTCGTACATTTGTCACGTGCACAACTATACTAGCCGAAAATTACGACTCATCACAATATCTTTTCTCCCTATATATATTCATCCATTTGGACAGTTTTCTTCACCCATCAACACTTCCTTACACATATAACCTTTTCAATCATTACAAAAATAGCCACAATGTCCAATCTAGCCTTTCTTTCACTAATTTTCACCATTTTCATCTCCACTTCTAACGCCATTTCTCAATGTAACGGCCCTTGTAAAACATGGGACGATTGTGATGGTCAATTAATTTGCATAAACGGAAAATGTAACGATGATCCTAACGTTGGAACCAAAATTTGCAAAAGTAGCCCTCCTTCCGTCCCATCTCCAACTCCAACCAATACATGTCGTCCGTCTGGCACAATCAATTGCAACGGTGTACACCCAATATACCGTTGCTCGCCACCTGTCACCTCCTCAACTCCCGCTCAACTTACCTTCAACGACTTCGGTGAAGGCGGAGACGGGGGTGGTCCATCATCATGTGATGGAAAATATCATAACAATAACGAAAGAATAGTAGCATTGTCCACCGGATGGTTTGCAGGACGTTCGAGGTGTGGTAAAATGATACTAATTCGCGCTAATAACGGAAAGACCGTAACGGCTAAAGTGGTGGATGAATGTGATTCTACTATGGGTTGTGATGCGGAACATGCTTTTCAAAGTCCATGCAAAAATAACATAGTGGATGGTTCTATTGCTGTGTGGAGAGCTTTAGGGTTAAATACAGATTTAGGTATTGTTCCTGTCACTTGGTCCATGGTTTAGGCCAACATGGAGCGATCGTTACAGTTATGGATTTGATAGAATTCAGTAACTTTATATGTCTCAAATTATATGTAATAAGATGTACATTAGAGTTTCTTAAAAATAATCAACTACGATATAATTTCAACTAATTATATTTTTCTTTCATCTCAATTTATGTTGTGAAGCTTGACTTCTTCGTTTTTTAATATCATGGCATCACCCCCTTTGAATTTGCGAAACTACTTCCTCCGATTGATAACCTAAGGAAGTCAACATATCCGCAACATGATTTGTTCCCGTTAAATAGTTCTTGATGAAAAGACTCTTGTCTTCGACCATCTATTTAATCTCTTTACTTTATTTCAATTTGTTTGACTAGTCGCTGAGTTTATAAAAGAAATAAATTCACTTGAAATTTGTGGACTTAAACAAAGCATAGATATTTTTGTGGTTATAGATAATCTTATTAAGAATAAAGTGAAAAGTTTAAAATTATATTAGTATTAAATATGAAAATGATCAAACATTTGGAGGGGGGGAGGGAGGGGGGACAAATTTATAAAAAGGAAAATATAATGTCATTTAAATTAGAAGGGTGATATAGGGGATTGAATGAATTATGTTAATCACATAATTGTAATTCTTTTTTGTACTAATTAATTATGAGTATAGGTGATATAGGAGCTTTGAATCCTTTCAAATATCTTCCTCAGATTATTATGTACTTTTGAGTTAAGATAAATAAAACGCAGAAAGATTGCTTGAAAAAAAAAGGTTAGGTGATATAGCTCTGATTTTAACATTCCGCTGCTTTAATTTTATTTTTATTCTAATAAAATCAGAAAAAATATTTATTTTTCTTTTTTATTATAAATTTCAAAAGTCTTTATGTCTAGCACCAATTATAGAAAGTCTGAAAATTGCAAAAATGCAAAAAAGGAGGACGGAGTGCAAGGTCATATTGTACTATCAAAAAATGGTATAATATTGAAATGTGTTCTTTAACTTGATATTAACTGATATTTATGCATTTTAATTTTGAATGTGCAAGGTACATAAATTTATATAGAATTGAACAATTAGACACATATGTCTAACGTGACGCCTTACGTGTATTATACCATATAAGACACATGTATTACGCCACGCAAAAAATATTTGCAGTATACACTTATTTTCTAGTTGTAATACAATGAATATGCACCAGTAACTATTTCAAATTGATACATCCGAAGTACTATATAGCTGGATATTTTTGACAGATTGAAACTCATAAGAAAAACACGATAAATGATTTGAGACGAAGAGATCAGTATTTTCTCCTAAATAAGACTCCCATACCCTTTCTCTAAGAATAAAGATTAACCAGATATAAAATATTTATATTTATCTTATTGTTAAAGTAAACCCAATTATAATAAGTATGTTGTCGTTTTTTCCAAAACAATAAAACACCCAATTATGATTTAGAAATTAGGACAAACACCCAATAATATGTGAGTTTCTTAACAAATCAATTATATTCAAATCAAACTATGAAAATTGACAATTAAATTTGCAAGACATGGATTGGTTTAAAACGTGGACGACGGTTGTGTATCGGTCGGTTCGGTTCGATTTATCGATTCAGTTTTTCGATTTTCAGATTTTAAATATGCTAAATCGATAACCAAATCAATAAGATATTTGTTATAGGTTTTCGATTTATCGATTTTGATCTTTAACGGTTCGGTTTTCGGTTTAACCAATAAGAAAATGCTTCCAAAATAAATATATGACTTGTCCAACAATTTAACGCGAAATAAAAAGAGAAAAATCTAATTACTCATTGAGTGCAAAAATTCTTCTTAGTGTAGTAAAAGTATAGCAAATACTCATAATTCACAACCCTAGTCATTGCCTAACCCTTGCCACCGTCGTTGCAAACCCTAGACAGCGTCGTTCTTAGTTCTTTAGGTTTTTGACGTTGTGAACCTAAAGACTAAAGTAATACTAAAACCTAAAGGGTAAATGCAGAGAGCAAGTTAATTAAGTAATGTTAATTGTGTAGGGTCCTTAAAGTTATATTATAATATAGTGATTATACTAATATTGTTTGTTTGATATTTATGTATGACTA